AGCCACTCATCTGGTACTCCCAGTCTTCTAAAACTGAGGAGGGGGGTGGGTTTTTTTGGTTTTTTTTTTCAATCCTTTGAGGTTCATCTCGCCAGTATTCATCTTCATGAAACAGACTCACAGGGTGGTTTGGGTTGGAAGGGACCAGGCTCATAAAAATCCCTTGTTTATAAAAGCCAGTCTCGGTGTGATAGCTCTAAAAAGCACAGATGAGAGAGTATGTGACCTGACACTGGTGGGAATTCGATGAATTTCTCTGGGAAAATGAATTTTCTTTTTATCTCCTGGAGCATCACTTTGGTAACAGAGCAATATTGTGTTACTGACTGCTGAGCTTCCACTGCCAAAAATGATTCTCTCTTCAGTACCTTAATTATATGAAACCCAGAACTCAGAAATGTATTGCCTTCCTCTCGTTCCCAGATTTCAGAGTACACTGGCAAGCACAGAAAGGATTTTTTTGAGCACAGTCCTATTCTCCAAAGCTGATTGAAAAGATCAGGCAGGGCAGAAAGTCCAAGTTAAACTATGTGTGCTCATGCCCAGATTTCTTGGATTCCCACTCCTGGCCTAAAACCACATTGTGCAAGTGGTCATGTTCTTGCTGGCCAAACATGAAATTTAGTTGCACAGTTAGGAATTAGTCTTGGTGACAACTATAGCTGTTTCTCTTCCAGCTGAGCACCAAATGAGTGACCTGAGGAGTGCAAATTGCAGCTCTGGGTGTCTCTTCCCTCTGCAATAGAAACTCCAGCTTACCTTTTAAGCTTTATGTTGTTATTTTTAAGACTAATACTAAAGCATCAGAAGACCTAAATGTAACCAATCTAATTACTCTGCAATATGCTTTAATATTTATTAGAGAGCAGATGTTGTTGGGGGTGTATTATCATCCTCTGGTCCCTGATGAGAAGCACTCTTAAATCTTCCTCTGTCTCACTTCTCCCACTCTGCACCTGTCAGCTCCTGTTTCAGGGGTTAATTTGACACTCCAAATGTGCATCCTTATACTTCCACAGTCTGACTGCACATTTGCTTCCTAATTTCCAAGTATGTGTAAGGGAAAGGGAGAAGTGGGAATGGTAAATGCTGGAGGAACTTAAAGCAAACATGGATTTGTGCTACATATAAAGCAATTAAAGTGGTGCCACGCAAAGCTGCTTTTTATTTATAGCTCCTTAAGAGACTTTTTCTCCCAAGTACCAGGAGACTCCTCGCTGTGCTGCTGGCCAGAGGAGGCTTATAATTATAGCAGCTCTTGATGGACTTTGTGGGTAACCAGGATTGCAGTTGCACAGTGTCTCAGGAGGCAGTTCTGGGAATGTGCGTTGGGATGAACCGGAGAGACACTGCTCAGAGATGTTTTACACAAAGAGCTCGTGCTGCAAGCCATTATTTTGGAGTAAATGTTCCATGTTTATAGTATAAATGTAGCTAAACTAGTACTAGTCCTGGTTTAATTTTATCCAGCATCTTTCTTCCTGTTTTAAGAATGAGATGAAACGAAGCTGCAGCCAATGAAAGTAGCAGAGTCTCAATTCCCAAAGCAGTTGCTGCTGCCTGTTCTTGGAAGTGCTTATTAAATAAATCCTTGAGTAAAATTATTCAAATTATGCCTCTTAAAGAAACTCATTTTTTAAGCAGCTGAAGTTTTGAAGTGCTGCATAACCTATTATTTTTCTCTTTACCAACCTCAGTGTGTCCAAGGCTTCGTTTCTTGCAGCGTGCAGTGAGGTTTATGTGGTCTCCTCAGTGCTGCTCAATCCTTGTGCCATGAAAATCCCCTTATAAGCAGCTCAGTGGCATTGCCACATTTGTCCCATTCAGAATTCATAGTGAGAGCTTAGTAGTTGGGGGAAAAAAAAAAAGCAGCATATGTTGTCTTTAATATAGTCTCATTCTGTCTCGTGATTCTGACTGGCATTTCTCAGATTAATGTTTCCTGCCTCTTCAAGTGCTCACGACCTCAAGAGGCTTGTTAGCAGTTCTGCTGGAGTCCTGTGCTCTTACTGCTCTTCAGAACTCCTTTTCCTTGCACTTCCAGTGGGCAGGTGAACATCCAACGCAGTTAGCAGCTCTTGCTAAGACACATCTTAGTCACACAGCACATCTGACAACAAAATAACTCCCGTTGGATTTATTCCTTCCTCCGCTTTTGTCCTGGGCTGTGAGTGGATGCTGAAAACATGCTTTGTGCTGCACTGATAATCCTAATAGACTGCTCATGCTGGACTGTGGCTTTGGCCCTTGGATGATTTTGCAGCTGGTGGGGTTTTTTGTTTGAAATTAGTCATGGTTTTTGGAAGGTTTTTCTCCAGCCTCTTTAGGCAAACTGCACAGTGTTTGCTTTTTGATGCCTTGAATTAGCTTCCAACTGCGGTGGAAGGGTTGGTGGAAAGTTTATACACAGGCCTTAAAATCAGTGCCAGGGATTGTTCTGGTTTGTAGAATCGTGGCTGTGTTCAGGTTGTGGGGTTAGATCTGCTCTGTGTGCTGTGAAGGAGAGTTCACTCATTCCACAGACTTCAAAATTCCTTCAGTGACATGAAGTATTTAAATGTCCTGAACAGGTGGATGAGCCTCACCAGCTCCTCCTTAAGTTTCATTGAGCATCATTCCTGAGTTTAACTTGTGCTTGAGGAACTGGTTCTTCTCATGGTTTTTTGGGTAAGATGTGAGTTTTGCATCTCTTCAAGTGTCCATCGCTCAAAGAATTTTGACACAGACTAATGCTGGAAGCAAAGACTTAAGGAGTGACACTTGAATTCATCATTAAATGTCAGTCATGGGTTTTGTTCAGCTTCTGTAGAAGAAAATGTGACCTTCTGAGAAGTGGAGAAAGTTGAGTCATGAACTCCTGTGCAATTTCAAGCACTAGAATTTAATGTGCAATGACAAATACCTTCACTTTTTTCAGTTTCAAACAAGAGTTTCTCTGAAGTTTAGATGAGTCCATAATTACTAGACATCAGGTGCAAAGGTCAGGACAGGATGTCACTTTGCCTTGGATGTTAGGTAGGTCAGATTAGTCATGTTTTCCTTATTTTTACAAGTCAGGTACATCATGTGATACTGATTTCTATTCACCTTTACACATCTGAAATGATGTCACAGTGAGGTTAAGCAGCAAATCATTGGAGAAAGGTAGGAATTTGCTTCCTCCTTCTCCTGCCTAGTCCTGTTGAGAGATCCTGGTATTTGAGGCAGGAGACAACAGCACTGAAGCCTCATCTGACTTAAGGAAGCCTTTTCTGTTGTTCTGTTTGCCTGGATTTCTTCCTTCTCTTCACTGTATATGATTTCAGTCAAACTTCTTTTTCCTGGGATTTGTGCCCTTGGAAGGTTTATAGGTTTGTGGCTTTATTTCTCTGTAGAATAAATGTACATCATCATCAACATCCTACAAGAGAGATCAAAGTTCACGCATTAAACTGGACTTCCCTGACCGTGTTCCTGCTCTGAGATGAGACTTTCAGCCTCACAAGCAGTGGAAATACCTGGTCCAGAGAGCAGATAGTGCCAAGACTTGTGCTGGGGCAGGTGATTGCTGAGACAGGAATTGAGCTGTTAAATCCTGTGGGATTCAGTTCTCTTCAGAATTGTTCCCAAACCAGAATGTAAAGTAGGGAGACTTTGGCTTTCTGAGAGAACAGACTTAACAGCATCAGCTCGTTCGGGAATAAACAAATGGAAACCAGTTTAATTTCAATGATTTTGCATTGGATTTAAAAGTAAGAGAGGATTTCCTTTCCTTTTTGTTCTTGGAAAGGAGCTGAGCTGAGCACAGGGCTGGAAGCTTATTTGGGCTTGTTGTGAGAACCTTGGGAAGATAAAACAATATTGCAAGTATAATTCCTCTGATTTTCACAGTTTAGAGTTTGGATTGATGTGGAATTTAGGGCTCAGCATTATCCTGTTTGATTTTTTTTTTTTAGCAAGGGTGAAAGAGAGCCCAACTTTGGTGTTTGAAGAGCCATATCTGAGGACAAAGGTGTGTTTAACATGGAGCCAGTTTGGAGTTTAGCAAATTAAAGCAGCAAATAAATATTTCAGAAGGAAGTCATTGCTTTCAAAGACAGTTGCTATGCTTGGAAAAACACCTGAATTTTGTTCCTCTCCTTTTCTGGGGTGTTTAAACAGCCTGTTTGGGTTTCCTCTCTTCCTGTTGCTGAGGTGTGGCTCTGCATCCACCCGTGAGTGGAAGGAGAGCTCTGTGTGTGCTCTGGATGTTTGCACTGAGTGCAGTGCTCTGCTCTGTAAATAAGGTGTGTTACAGCTAAACAGGAGAAATGTGGTCTGGAAGGGACATGTTGATGGAGAAGGTCGTGACAAGTGTACCCAAAGTTCTGTTGCTTTTGAAGGTAACTTCATGGAATTGGTCTGTTGTGTCAGGAGACTATTCCACTTGTTGCTTCAGACTGAAAATCTGAAATCAGATCCCTCAGCTGAGTGGTTATTCCCCCGTTTGATGTCTGAATATTTTACTGAATCTAACGTGACACCCAGGGCAAACTTCCCCAAACACTCAGCTGGCCCAAAGCTCATCAGGCTGTCTGGATAAAATTGGGAGCTAACTCAGAATTTGGGTGGGTGAGAATTGTCCTTTGTTCTTTAGGGCTCATGTCTTTAGGCAGAAAGTTTGAACTGAAAAAAGAAGCTTTTGGCATTAATGTAGGATTGGTTTAACACAGCTGGGGAAGAATTTTCTGGAGAAGGAACAGGAAGGGTGCAGAGCTTGCGTTTTACATGTTAACAAGGGATGACACTGTGCACTCAGTGCACCTCAGTGCTGGAATTCAGATTCCAAGAGCAACTGTTGCTTTATCTCTCGATGTTCATCATTTGTTCAGCGGCTGCAGCAACACCACAGTGCTAAGGTTTACACAGAGCTTAGTTCTGTTGCTCATTTCAAGGTTCCCAAATTCCCATGTTGTCTTGCCTAATAATTTTTCTGTTATTTCACTCCCTTTTAAAATGTACTTCTTTCTTTCCAGGCCCAAAACCTTCAGCACAGCAAGGACATGACCCTCGCCAGCAACCGCAGCCTGGCTGAGGGCAACCTCCTGTACCAGCCCAAGTTGGAGTCTTTGAAATCAAATCTCACTGAAAAATATCAAGAGCTGCAAGTTCTTTTTGAAGCCTACCAGATAAAGAAAACCAAACTGGGTAACTCCTGCTGCTGACAGTTGTGATGTGCTGTTTTCTAAGTGAATGTAAATCAGTTTGTTTGGTTTAGCTGTGTGAATTAGGGTACAAAGTGACGTGTCACTCTGAGCTAGATCACACTGCTGATGGTTTGGGAAGTGTCTGTCACACCTAGGAGCAGATACTGTGGGTTCTTTCTGTTACTGGTTACCTTCCTGTGCTTGACCTACTCTTCTCTCATTGATCAGATTCATTCACCTCGTGAAAAGCAAAACTTGCTTTGAATTTCCAGTGATTAATCACAAATCAGAGGGAATATTGCATTTAGTTTCATTTCCTACTGAATCATGGAGTGTTGTACATCTGTTGCTGCACTTGCTGAAGTGCTGTGGCTTTCAATATTATACCATTGTGATTCAATTTCAGCTTTTAGCTCTCTGACAACATTCCTCAACTTCTCAATCTGTTTCTAACTGTAGATCACCCTGTGTAGAGCAGTGGAATCTGCTGGTTGTACTGGTGTGCCATGGAGGTTATTGTGCACTTAGGGGTCACTTAGCTGTCATTTACTGTGCTTTCTGTGCCCTTACAGACAGACAATCCAGCAATGCTTCTCTGGAGACCCTCTTGGCCCTGCTGCAGACTGAGGGGGCAAAGATTGAGGAAGACACAGAGGTAATGACAGGACACTCCAGTTGTGCCACTCACACCCATTGCCAGAACCTTCCAGTGTCCACAGCTCAGTGCAGAGCTGACCATGTCACAGACTAAGGGAGGTTTTAGGGAATATGATCTGGTCTTTGCTTTGCATGTCAATGAAAAGCCATTTGGTTCCAGTGAGCATTTTTTCATCTTTTTTCATTTTTTTTTCTCTTAACATCTTTGAAGTTTAAGAGAGAAAATTCTCCTTTTTAGCAAAGAAAGCCAAACCCTCTTAGTTCCTTGGCTTTGCCTTCAGGCTCCCAGTGTACAATGTGGAACCTCTTTTTAATGGTGTTTGCCTGGTGTGTGTATCACTTCGTTATAAATGTCAGTTAGTGCCCTAATGAGCACTGTGCCTGCACTGCTTGTTCTCCAGCGTTTCCAGTGAGATATTCCAGTATGGTTTCAGTGCTGGGAGTGCCTGAAGGGTGGTCTGACTGCAGAACAGTGGGAGTGAGTGTTTGGCTTTCCTGGTTTACCTCTAGGCCATTTTGTAAACCAGGGTAAAGCAATCTGCTCCCAGCTGTGAGCTGTGATCACTGCAAGATATTCCCAGGACAGGTTGAATTTTGTGCTTGTATGTTTGGTCACCTGTCAATTATTAAACATCATCTACCCAAAGCCCCAAGGAGGGTGAGGATTAAACCTGGCCTAGCAGTGATTTGCCTCTCTGAGTCTCAGAGCTCACAGTGTTTCTGTTGGTGATGAGGCAGCTCCGGGCTGGAATTCAGCTTAGCTGGTGAGCTGAGAAGCTGTTGGACTTGCTTCCTTCCCATCCATGATGATCAGGGGATGCTCAGAGTGAATTCTGATGGTTTCACTGCTGTTCCTTCAGTCTAAATTTATGCAGAAATGATATTTAACTCCCAGTGCTTCTGAGTAATAACTCACTCAGAGTTGTGCTCAGAATTCAGCTGCCAGTCATCTTCCATATGCCAGCTGGAAAATCACAGGCCAAGTGCTGCTATTTTGGGGCTGTAAGCCATTTAGATTCTGTGGCAGTGTGCTGTTTTCTAGGAGATTGTTCTGTGTTTGGCAGAATATGGCCGAGAAGTTTCTCGATGGTGAAATCCCTCTGGATTCCTTCATCGACGAGTACCAGAGCAAGCGCAAACTGGCACATCTGCGCCGGGTGAAGATCGAGAAGCTGCAGGAGATGGTGCTGAAGGGACAGAGACTTCCTCAGGTTCAGCCACAGGCTCAGGCCAGAGCCCCCGAGGCAACACCAGCAGCTCCAGATTCCTACAAAGCAGATGCCAACGCGCCGGTGGTGCCGCGGCGAGTGCCACCACCACCGCCACCTCCCGCGGGCCCGGGACGCTTCCCCACTCCCTTCACTGCAGCCATGGGCTCAGGACCAGCTCTTTCCTATCCAGGTGCTCCATATCCTCCTCTGCCACCTCGCCCAGGAGGAGCAGTTCAGCCTGCCAGTCAGATGCCACAGCCAGGATACCCATCTCAGTTTGTACCACCGTACCCTCCAGCTCTGCCCCAAAGACCACCTCGCGTTCCTCCTCATCCTGGCTTCATCCTGCAGTAAATGTTCAGGGCGCCCAACTATGTATTGGTGCTTCTCTTTCCTTCCCCCAGCACAGACTTGCTGTAGGCAAGGGGAAGCCTCTGTTCTTTGCACAAGGGAGTGCAAATCCGAGCTGTGGCACAGAGGTTTGCAATGGCTTTGGTAAATGTGCTGATGTTTGTTTTCAGAGATCGGTGAGGTTTTCCTCGGAAGGTCTAAATTTTGTAAATCTGTCAGATTGGGAAGCCACACACAGTGGATTTCCTGATCTTCCTGCTCTGAATTCTTTAGGGATGCTAAACCAGCATCCTCTTCTGTCCTGGTGGATTCCCATCCCAGCTGGATGTGTGTGTGAAGCTGTTTGTCTCTTTAAGGAATTCTCAGCAGTGTTTGGGGAGTAACATGTCTGAGTGCTGGGCAGGGAGGGTGCACTGCCCCCCCAGTGCATTCAGGGAGGGTTTTCAGAGCTTACCGAGCTGCAGCTCTTGTCAGAACATGTTGGATGGTTTCCAGACAGGGAAAGTGACAAGAGTTTCATTTCTACATTTCAGTTCTTACCTTAGACTTCTCCTAATCAAAAGTGCACACTCCTCCCACTCCCAAAGAACTTGAAACCCTCCAAGTCCTGGTCTCTTGAGATGAAACTAAACTGTTTGTAGAGCCAGTTTAGAGTTTTATAGACACTTTACCAGGCACTTTTTTTTTTTTTGGCCTGTTAAGACTCTTTCTTACGATTGTTTTGTCCTCCTTTTCCACACCTTGGATACAGAAGTGATTTTTTTTTTTTTTTTTACACAGGTGCTTAGCTTTTGATACCATGTGATTCCAGGAATCTAGGCAGGGTATTTTCTTAATCAAATACTGGATTTTCACCTGAAGATCCACAATTTCCTTTTGCTCCTCAAACTCAGTCTCTCACTTGGCAGAACTATTTTCAACTCTCCCATTCCCTTTAGTTGTGTGTTCTGCAGTTAAGGTTTCTCTGCAAACAGGCAAAGCAGAGAAGCTTTTTGCACTCCATGGTGGCTGTTTGCATCTGCCAGAATGCAGTTTCTGCCACTGGAGGCTTTGCAGGGCAGCTCAGATTTGCCCCTCAGTGTGGCTCTTGCAGCCTAAGGTGCAGACACTTGCTGGTATTTTAATCCAGCCTGGGGAGAGGCAAATCTGAACACTTGTTGTTTGCACAGAATGTGGCTGTAAGTTTGTTCCCAGTCAGTCCAGAATCTGTCACAGCCCCTGTGTTAGAGCATTTTGGTCTCACTGGCCTGGAATGCTCAGCCTTGTTTGGCTCTGTGTGCTGCAAACAGCATCAGAGCAGAATATCCAGTTGTTTTCCCTACCTAAGGCCCTGGACTGTCCCTGAAGCATTCCCTCTGGAGTGTGGTGCTTAGCAAATATTAATCTGAAATGAAGCTCTCAATTCTGAAAACACGATCAGAAGGTTGGGCAGTGTTCTTGACACCTGAACCAATCCCCACTGTAGGCCTGGCAAGTTTTCCTGGATGGGGAATTTTGTGGAGCAATGTGCATTGGGTTTGTTTGCAAAATGTGGGGTTTTTTTCTGTAATCTAGTGATGGTACAGGATGTGTTTTTTGGTTTGTTTTTTTTTTAAACTAGTGTAATCTCTTTTTCTGGTTTGATTTTCTCACGGAAGCTTTGTCTCAGCATGGGTAATTATGCCTCGTGTCAAAGTGCTGCTGCTGTGCTGTGAGTGCAGCTCTTGTGTCTGGATGCTGAGCAGAAAATGTGATGTTAGAAACGTGTCCTGGAAGGAGTGAAAGTGGCTTGGGGCTCCCAGGGTGGTGACTGAGGGCAGAAATTCATCCTACACAAAAAAAACCCTCTCCAATCAGTTTGACTAAGATTGAGTGAAACCAACCAGGTCTTTTTTACACTTATCAAGTGCCAACTTTTTTTCTGAGGCTTCCAAAACCCTCAGAAGTGATTGGAGGTTGATAGATAAGTGTATTGTGAATTTGCACTGCATTTTCTGTAGGGAATTTTATTGGTCTTAGTAGTCCAAAACTATTTTTACTACTTGTGAAACCTTCTGTCTCTTTTTTTGGTAACTTTTTTGTGATAACAATGACCTTTCAGGGATACTTTAAAAAAAAAACAAACAAACTAAACACAAACAAAGCTAATGCAATTCTTGTGGCCGAAAGCAAAACAATGCATTGTTGCATATGCATGTGGCTGAGGTGCCTTAGGATCACAACTTGTGATTGTAACACTAGAATATTTGCGTTTTTATGGGGTCAGTGGCCATTGCTTAACTCATTTAAGGGCTCTGTGAGAGCACTGACTTGGACAAAAAAAAAAAAAAAAAGCCCTTCCCCCTCACCTTTCAGAAAGCAAACAGCTCTATCTGCTCTTTGTAAGTTTCTAGTTGCCTTCAATGATGCTGAGTTGGAGGTGGAGGATGTAGCTAATGTGGCTGTTCAGGCTGAGCGACCTCAGGACTGAAGTCAAGTCCAGCTGCTCATGGAAATGTTTCACCATTAACTCTTTGTTTGGGTGTGCACAAACTGTAAATAGTCAAGATGACTGTGGAAAGCTGTTTCAAACCTGAGCAAACACTCCTGCTGTTGAAGGGTCAAGATGACTGTAGAAAGCTGTTTCAAACCTGAGCAAACACTAAGCTGAGGGGAGTGAGTGGGGCAAGAGCTGTGTCAGTGCTTTTGACCTGTTGCCCTTCGACAGTTTCTCCCGTTCTGTTGTAGCTCAGAGCTCAATTCTGCTCTGGTTAGGATGTTTAGGACTGTACTAATTTGCACTGTTGGTAAGATAGTGAGCTGAAAATGCCATATGCAAGCTGAGAGTCAAGAGGGGGAGGCTCAGGATGCTTGCCAAAAATATATCTCTAGCTGTTCTAATGTTGTCTTGAAGAGTTTTAATGTCTGCTACAAATAGCTTATACTTCCCCAGAGCGATGGGAGGGGAGGAAAACCTTCCCAACATGTGTCACTGCTCCAGGGTGTTGGTGGCACTGCAGATCCCTTGGGGTGCCACTCCCTCTGCCTGTGCTTTGGGAGCGATGACTGACACAGATGGACCTCAGGAGACTTTGGTTGGTGGTCAGCACTGAGCAGTTCCGGTGGGGTCACTGCACTCAGAGCTGGATCCGAAAGGAATTGGAGTCAGTTTTCCAGCACAGCTGATCCTGGAAGATCACCTGAGTCTGGTGAGTGCTGAGGGTGATGGAGACACAGCCTGGGCATGGGGAGCCACCAGCTTTAGTGCCCAAACTTCACCACCTCAGTCCTGACCTCTCTGCCCTCTCAAACTGGAATCATGAGGTACATACAGAGCTGAAATCATGAATTCAGTGCAGAGAGACTTGGTGACCATTGAACTCAGAGGGAGCAGAGCTGTCCTGCACTTGAGCAGTTCCTCTGGGTCACCCTGGAGTGTGTAAGGGGCAAATAGAAATGCAAATTATGTTGTGAAACATCCATTGGATTCGATTGCATAATAAAGTTTTTCTGTACTCTACTGTGTTTGATTTAAAATAAAATAGTATATCTCTATGGCTGGCAGTGTTTTGTGGTGTGTAGGGGAAGGAAGGAAGGAAGGAGAAGG